AGAGCGTTTTTTTTTTTTTTTTTTTTAAATAAAAGAGGATTCCAAATAGGATAATTATTTAGTTTACAATCTTCCAATTTCAACGAAATTGTGTACATTCGCATTTTTATACGAGAGAATCTGACGGAAAAAAGAATAAATAGAAAGCAATCCCTGAACACCGCGAGTATCGGTACCGGAGTATCGATAACTCAGAAACGAGTAAGAGGAACAAAAAAGTCTTCCTCGTCAAAACAGCACATGTTATGATGATTTTATTTATAATTCATGATATATTTGCAGCATGATATATTGCGCAGATATATTTTTGTGCTCTTGCTAATCTTTTTAGTATTCATTATTTTTAATATAATATATATCTCATCCTTTTATTAAGGCAAAAATTTAATAGATATATTATATTTTATCATTGAAATCTAAGTGATGCATTATATAAGTACACATAGCGCTATATAGTCGCTATGACAGATTTTCTAACCAAAAAAGTGATCAATTTTAATGCTTAATATCTCGCGAGGCAGGTCCGCTGCGTTTTTCTGCCAGATTCTTTTATTTTGAGTGAAATCGCGTCAATTGAGCCCAATTTTATCAAAATCGAAGGTGACAAGGCTATTTTAAATAATTACTAAAAATTGAAATAATAAAATACTAACCTCTTTAATGATAGGATCATTTTCTACTTCCATATTTATTACCGTTACTTTTGATTAAAACAAATATTAAATTTATATTTTATTTTGACATATCTATATATGTATATTTTTTTCAAATAATTAGATTAAAACATACCTATCCTATAATAACCATGTTCATGGTGTAACTTACACCATAGGCTAGTCTTTGATTAGAAGGTCTCAACTTCACAAGCACACCTTGTTTCTTTAGTCCCGGTTTACAATAGGTGATTTAAGCTTTAAGCCATAAGAAATTGACCAATCATAGTCGATTATACTTCTATTCGACTATGATTCGTTCATTTCTTATGGCTTAAGGCTTAAATCATTTATTGTAAATTAGGACTTACACCATGATCGCACCCATGGCTGCGTTCCGATATTCACTGCATATACTAAAAATATATAGTTTAGGTCATGTATATTATAGATTTTCAATACTGGCAATGAATATCGAAACGCAGCCCATATCGTATCTTGGACATATTTCTGATTGGTTAAAGGAAATGTTGATACTATGCATCTTTAGAAATGCTACACTTGGTTTTTTTTACATCATGGTTAACTAAATTACAGTTATAACTGTTCAGGTTTTTGCGTGCCGCAATTTTTTCAACTGCTATGTTTGAAAATCAATAGTTAATCTGTATGATAAAAAATTATTTTTAATTAAAAAAAAATGTCTTTAGCTGACGAGCTTCTCGCTGATCTTGAGGAAAATGACGATGCAGAATCTGTTATAGAAGAACTGGAACCGAAATTTATACCAACTTCAGTTTCTAAAGTTATTGAAGAAGGTTAGCATGTTTTATATCGCATAACTTTTTATATAATTTTCTATTTTACAATATATATTATATATTACAGTATATATTTATATATATTTATTATTATTTTACTATTATTTTATTATTTTGTTACAATAATTTATGTCATCAGTTATGGTATATTAACTTTTTTATATAGAGATAAAGGTATCATCTGTTCGTGAGCTAGCTAAGTTACGAGATTCAGAGCATCTGCAGCAAGTTGTACTACAGATTGAAAAGTATAGTAAAGTACCTAGAAAATCAGCTGATATTGTAGGACCTGTGGAATCTGATCCAGAATACCAATTAATAGTTGAAGCTAATAATATGGCAGTAAAAATTGATAATGAAATAGGTAATTATATAGAATGATTACAAATAAATATAAATGTAAATAACGTATGAAATATTCATGAAATAATATCATTTTCATATTTTTTAGCTATTATACATAGGTTTACAAGAGATAAATATTCGAAAAGATTTCCAGAATTAGAATCTTTAGTAGTAGGACCATTAGAATATGTAATGACTGTTAGAGAATTAGGCAATGACTTAGACAGAGCTAAAAATAATGAGATTTTGCAACAGTTTCTTACTCAAGCTACAATTATGGTTGTTTCTGTGACAGCATCGACCACTCAAGGGTAATATTTATATATATATAAAATCAAATTTTTTTAATCTTAAATTATTGAAGCTGAATTAACTTCTCTACTTTTGATATCTTTTTCAAGTCTTTCATATTTTGATATAATACAAAAATGTTATACATTCAATTTATGCAAATGTTTGCACACACACACACACACACACACACACATGCGCGCGCGTATGTATATGTGTGTGTGTATGTGCATACATCTGACTAAACTTTAATTTTATTTATAAGACAAATATATATAGTAAGAATAGTTTAAAAAAAAGAAATACAAACTTAAGATG